TTGCCTCTCTCCTCACTGAAGGCCTGGACATGGCCACTCTTGGTCATACCCTTGACATGGCTCTGATGAGGCCATATGGGCAGCAAGACCGCCCTTCCCCCCATTACTTCTCTAGCTGAAGCTGGTGGATACTGTTATGATGCCATTAATGAGTAGTTCCTTTCCATCATTTCTGAGGTCTTCCATTACATACAGAGGAGCTTTTCATGGCTGTTCTAGGAAGGCTCTAGAGAATGTGAGCAAATGAATTTTGTAATTTGTTCTTTGGGCATATTCCATGTTCCATTATTTTATTAAAGAACACTTCCCCGTCCCCTCCTACTGAGCTGTTCTCTTTGAGTTGTTGTCGATGTGTCATCAGACGGTCTGACTTTCTATCATTCTGTCTCACTTTGATATATTGATATGTTATTTCTCCACTCTGAACAATCAGGAGTCTCTTGCTAGGAGTCACACATACATTGAAGCTTTGAAGTAAGATTGATTTGAATTTCACAAGTCAATTCGATTTTCATAATTTGGAAAGAACATTCCAAATAGTTTGAGATTTTAACAGGTCATCAAAATGTGTCATATTTTGTTCATAATCTCAAACAACTAGATATCCCTAGAGTTGAAAGCACTCTTTCCATTCTAATGATATCTATTTTTTCAAATTCTTGTGCTCCTCTCGATCAGCCTTTAATGCTGACTAGCAACCCAAAAAATTCAAATTCAAATACAAATTCAAAAGATACATTTTTTAGTGGGATAAGATATTACATAAAGTTGGCATAGGCTTATTGAGGTGTTACACCAATACCAAATTCCCTTACTAATCACTATAAAAATTCTTGCTATGTTATTTCAGGCATTGATATTTTTATACCTTGTCTGACTTCATACATTGTTCCTTTAAGACTTCCTAACAGTGTATTTCTTTTTTCCTCTTTGGAACTTACCACCATTGTAGGGTTTGTTATATATATATATTTAAATTTAATAGTATTTTTTCCTAATTACATGTAAAGACAATTTTCAACATTCATTTTGTTAAATTAAAAAAAAATTTTTTAATTTAAAAAAATTTTTTTTGGGCTAGGCAATGGGGTTAAGTGACTTGCCCAGGGTCACACAGCTAGTTAAGTGTTATGTGTCTGAGGCTGGATTTGAACTCAGGTCCTCCTGAATTCAGGGTCAGTGCTCTATCCACTGCGCCACCTAGCTGCCCCCAACATTCATTTTTTTTAGTGAGGCAATTGGGGTTAAGTGACTTGGCCAGAGTCACACAGCTAGGAAGTATTATATGTCTGAGGCCGGATTTGAACTCAGGTCCTCCTGACTCCAGGGCCAATGCTCTAACCACTATACCACCTATGCCCCATAACATTCATTTTCTGAAGGATTTTGAGTTCCAAATTTTTTCCCTCTCTCCTTCCCCCTACCCCCTTCCCCAGGATGGCAAGTAATCTGATTATTATACATGTGCAATCATGTAAAACTTATTTCCACATTAGTTGTGGTAAAAGAAGAAATAGAACAAAAGGGAAAAAAATGAAAAAAAAAACCCAAAATGAAAACAGTATGCTTTGATCTGCATTCAGCCTGAGTGTATCATATTTCTAACCAAAGTGTACTATATTTCTGCTCCAGGGGATCATGGATCTTTCCCTGAAAAAAAAAATCTTAATGTAAGTCTGTGAATTTGATGTTATATTACACTCTGTGGTGTAGGGAAGCTTATTTACATCTATAGCTGGTTCTAGCATTTCAATTTTTTTAAAATTTCAAGTTAATTCTAATAACTTGTCTCTAGATACTCTGTTAATACAATTTAAAATCAATTAAGTATCTTCTCCTTTTTTCTGAGTGGATTTATAATTAGAAACCAATCATTCCCTAGAATCTCTAGCCTTTTAGTAATGGTTTATGTCCATTTGCAGGTAATCACAGAAACCACATAAGATTTTTTTCTCTCTTCATACTTCTTAGATAATGCTTCATATTTCCTGATATTTTTCAACAGTCATCCTTTAGCGGGTGAGGTTTGAATCCTGTTCATTTTTCTTGCACATTCCCCCACTTACCAAGTCAACAAGTGTTGGTTCTAAGCACTCCATGTCTGGTGCTGTACTAAGTATTGTGGTTCCCAAGAAAGGCCAAAACGACCCTGCCCTCACAGAGCTCACATTTTAATGGAGGAGACAATATTCCAAGAATTATATACCTAGAAGATAGATATGAGGTAAAGACACTAGCTTTGAGGCAGAGTGTGAAAGGATTTTTGCAGAAGGTGGCATTATATCTGAGACTTGAAAGAAGCCAGGGAAGCCAGCAGATAAAGATAATGGTAGAGAAGGGAATGAGCATTCCAGGAATGGGGGAAGGTCAGTGAAATATAGAGTCAGGACATGAGAGTGTCATGTGGAAAGAACAGCAAGGAGGCTAGTGTCACTAGATCTTAAATCACCTGAAGGGGAGCAAAGTCTAAGACTGGAAAGGTTGGAAGGGACCAGGTTACGAGGGGCTTTAAAATGCAAACATAGATCTACCATGTCACTTCCTCTCCCCCTCCCCCAATAAATTTCAGTGACTCCCTATTGCCTCCTGGATCAAATATAAACCCCTACTGATCATTTTAGCTCTTTAGCTGAGTAGAAAATTGACAGGGTATTTATGGCAGGGAGACATACCAGCTGGCTATTGCTGAAATAGGATTAACTCTTTTCTCCAAGAAATAGAGCTGCTTGTTGTAGAAACTGTAGAAAGATTGAAAGCCATTTGTATCTTATTCTATAGCTGTTTGGAGGGTCTCTGAGATGATGTTATAACTTCTTTTATATGTGTCTGGAGAATTCTTAGGATAACTTGCTTTCTTCTGGTTTGTAATATTGGGGTGGGGGAGGTGTTGCGGTAAGGGGAAGGAATAAACATTTATACAGCACCCACTATGTGCCAGAAATTGTGGAGATTAAGCACTTTGCAAATATCTCATTTCATCCTTCATTCCCACTGTCACTAATCTTCCATTTCTCCCTCTCTCCTGGCTGTTTCTCTGCTGCCTACATCAGGCCTACATTTCCCCCATCCTTAAAAAAATCCTCACTGGGTCCATCCAAACCCTCTAGCAATCATTCTATTTCTCTCCTCCCCTCCAAGGCTAAATCATCAGTATCTCTACTTTCCTCTCAGGGAGTTAGGTGGTGCAGTGGATAGAATACTGTGCCTGGAGTCAGGAAAACCTGAATTCAAATTTGATCTCAGACACTTACTGACTGTGTGACCCTGGACAAGTCGCTTAACACTGTTTGCTTCAGTTTCCTCATCTGTAAAATGAGCTAGAGAAGGAAATGGCAAACTACTCCAATATCTTTGCCAAGAAAACCCCAGTTGGGGTCAAAAAGAGTTGGATATGACTGAAATAACCAAACAATAACCACTGGAATAGTACTTTATAGTTATGGGCAACAAGGGAATAAACCAGAGCCTGGACATATTTCTTCTTCTGGAATACTGATGTTATAGCTGGAGGAAAGTATTTTAAGAATTATTCTGATGATTTGGTGATTGTCTAGCCTAAAGTGGTGAGACACTCTCATTCTAATGATTCTATTCAGTCTATGATCTATGTGACTAGAAAAGGATGGCCCAAATCAGTCCACGTGGCCGAGCCATCAGAGATCCTATCACGTCCATTTCAGAAGCTAGGAAGGAAATAAAGACCTAGCCCCTTTTTGGAAGGGCACAACAGAGTTATGATTTATCATCTTCAATCTAATGTGACAAATCTTTTTTACTCCAGAGAGAGAAAAATCATCTATACCAGTTGTGCTTTGGGTCGCTGCTGAAAGCAAACTTCCTTCTGGTCTATTGGCTTAACACTGACGTTAAACTTCCTTGTTGGCCTACTGCTTCACCCCTGAAATTTAATTTTCCTCTTAGTCTATTGGCTCACCACTGGAGTTACTGTTGGTCAACACCAGGCTTTCCACCAGGCAATCAATGAATCAATTTTTATTAAGTGCCCAATCTGCGCCAGACACTGGGCTCAGTGCTGAAAAAAATTGAACAGCCTCTGCCCAAAAGAAGCTTACATTCCAGGACTTCTGGTGAGGGAAGTGATGGGATCCAGTGGCGTTGATGTCTTTTTGAAGCATGAAGTTGGAAGTCCACCTTGGGAAGCCCTTGGGACTTTGTTGTGGTATTGGTGGTAAGAAGAACTTCCCATAAATTTCAAGGAGGTTTTGTTTTTATTGATGCCTCCTCGTGTGGACCTGCCAAATTTCTTTTAATGCTACATAGCCTTTGCTCCTTTTGAATTTCTCAGGTAACTTTGCTCCTAGGATCAGAGATGAAACTTGGAGAGTTCCAAGATTTCCAAGCACAGTTTCCAATTTGCTACTAAATTCCCTTTAGAAGCTTCTCTACATCTAGTCATCTTATAGCAATTGTAGGGCATAATGGTGAGCAGAGTTATTTACTTACCCTTGTTTGCTCTCTTCCTATTATTGACTCATTGTCTAGATGGGTTGTTTGCCTGATATAAATATTTTCTCTCTGAGAAGTTATATAGTTACAGCAAGTGAATTTTTCTTCTTCTTCTTCTTCTTCCTCTTCTCTCTCTCTCTCTCTCTCTCTTCCTCCCTTCCCCTCCTGTCCTGCTCCTTACTTGACCCCTGGTCTGAGGCAGTGCTCTGGAGAAACACCAGGGTTTTGAGTCTATTTCTCTCTCCTCTTCAGGATAGTTCCGTCAATTGACTTCCCTATAAATACATCTGGGCAGTTAGGCAGTGCAGTGGATAGGGTGCTGTACTGGAGTCAGGAAGACGTATCTTAACTTACTGAGTTCAAATCTGGCCTCAGACTAGCTGGGTGACCCTGGGCAAGCTACTTAAACCTGTATGTCTCAGTTTCCTCATCTGTAAAATGAGCTGGACAAGGAAATGCCAAACCACTCCAGTATCTTTGCTGAGAAAACCCCAAATGGAGTCACAAAGAGTCAGACACAACTGAAACACCAAAACAACACAACATTAAGCACAACGGCATACCCTATAAGTATACCCACATCAGCAAATGACTGAGGTTAACACCATTTATTTCAGCTAAGACAAAATAAATGGTTAAAACAAAGAAAGTTGAGCATGCATTTAAGAAATAGAATGTTCTTGTGTCCAGAGGAAAAAAAGCTTTAGGCTTCCATAAAGGTTATCAAAGAGAGAAAAAAAAAACCCAAGAAGGTTCACCTCCTTGGGGCCAGCATTGAGGATGCAGGTGGGATGTATCCACATTGTATCCACACCATCACACCAGCTGCCACATCAGCCTATACTTCCTTGCTCCCCAAGTTCGGTTTCCTCTCCACACAGCAGCTGGATTTGATGCTGTTTCTGCTTCTGCTCTTCCAGTTTTATGTAGCTTCATTCTACCTCTCTTCTTCTAGGTCCAAGCATCTTCTATGTATCTTGTCAGAAGTTGGGCTCCTCTCCCACTGAAATAAAGGAAGGAGAAGCTCTGAAGGATTATTAGGGAATGACCAGTCTTCGTCCAGCCAATGGCTAACTTCTCTTCCAATTCAATCAAGGAAACCATCATGCTTTGTAAAGGGATAATTAAGCATAGACCCACTTTTGTACTTTCTTAAAATTAACATCTCTTTACCTCTGTTATCTGCCCTTTACTCTCTGTGATTACATTGACTGAGCTGAGGGGAAATCAACTGATCAGCAACTATTCCAACTTATGCTCCCTGTTACATTCTCCCCTCCCCAGTTAAACATTTTCTGTTCTTGGCAAATCAGTTGTGATACTTTTGACATGTGTTCATACTCTCAGTTCTGGATAGCTCTCTAGTGGCTTTGGGGAAGCTCCAGCAATACCCTTTTGAATGATTTCCCTCAGTGCCTAAAGTTCATGTGGCACAGTTTTTAAGCAGTCCGGAAAAATAACATGCTTCCTCGAGGGTACTTGCCTACTAAACCTGATGAATTTGGGAGACTGTGCTCATCTCCAAATATGTGGTTATACTATTTCAACCAAACAATATCCTTTTTAGAATTCTCAAAGGTGATCACCTAATTTAGTGCTTTCTTGGCTTACCTTCCACCTTACCTCCTATTCACAAGACCCCTTCAGAACCAGGATCTCCTCCAAGTTCATGGTCCCAGGCCCACAGGGTAGCTTGCATTTAGGTAGAGTCTGAAATTTCAGAGTTGAGAGAGTTGGGAAGGCCAGCTATCTATAAATAGTCTCACCTGCCTACCTTGCTGTTCTAAGTTCTATTGGTGGGGCTCCAAAGAGCAGACTCCTGGGAATTAAAATGTTTTTCAGTCCTGTGAAACACCTGTTGTAATATGAGCAGTAATGCAATAATCATAGTAGGCTGAAAAGAATAACTTGAAGATCTAAATTATATTCAGGGCATATTATATACACATGTCACAGCATACATGTGTATCCATAGCATATAAACATAAAGACATACTGGTAAAACATAACAAAAAAACCCAAAAAATAATACCAGTAGGCCTAAATGATAACAGAACATAGTTAAATAGCAGTGTAATCACGTACAAAAACTATGCATAGCAAAAAAATCCAAATGTATCTGACACATGTACAATTCTAGTACAAGAGTAAGTAAACATGAAAAACAAAATAATAAAATAGAATATATATTCAAAAGGAATATTTTTTAAATCAGTTAGTACTGATTACTTTGATTCCTTTTTAGTTTGATTGTAGGATTAAAAAAATGTCTTTCTTTAGGAAAAGCTAGCCCTAACAGCTAAGCCAAATTAACATAGATATTCTTTTAAGTCTAGGTTACCTATAGATTTAGTGAATAGATAGATTGATAAGACTATCATTTAGTAGCAGATAATTTAGAGTAAGACATACATCTTCACGGGAATAAATTAATTATAGGATTATAAGATTTTAAAAAATCTTAGGGGCAGCTAGGTGGTGCAGTGGATAGAGCTCTGGCCTGGGAGTCAGGAAGACCTGGGTTCAAATCCAGCCTCAGATACTTGGCACTTACTAGCTGTGTTACCCTGGGCAAGTCACTTAACCCCAACTGCCTTGTAAAAACAAACAAAAAAACAAAAGAAAATCCTCTTTCTCAGTCTTAGTTCCCTTTTTCCTCAACACCCTGAAGTAAGTTCAAACTACAGGACCCTTTAAAGTAAGCTTTTTAATTACAAAATACTACAAGTGAAGGGCAGAGATTCCTAAAGCAATCTCACTTTGCCAGACAGATTGATAGTTACAGGCCCTAATCCAATAGGTTACCAAATTTAAGAACTCTCTCACCCTGGAAACTCTCCATTATGCCCCCAACATGCCCAGCAGCCTAACGCTATAAATTAGCCTACTTCCCTGTTCTTGTTACACTTCCCTATTCCTGTAAATCTTACGCCTCTTTTCTATTATAGACATAAGCTCTGTGAACCACTCCTTTGTCACTAATTATTGAGAGAATTATAGACCTGACTTAATGGTAACCTGGACCATTAGTATTAAATCATTATTTGCTCAGAAGCTTTGTATCACACAATTGTTTTCTTTTTCAGATAATTAATTTAACAAACCTGAAATGTCAGTTGGTTAAAAGTTAGTTTGTTCAGAGGTTAAATAGATTTCTTTTATAACCTGCTGCCCTGTTTCCCCCTGAACCTGAGCTGTTTTATGGTATAGACTGATCCTAGGCTTCATCAGCAAGATAGTCTTGCAGACAGCCTCAGTTGACTAGCAGTGTGACTATGCTCTTTAGGATGTCTCTTACCCTGGTAATCCCAGGGCTGAAGTTCTAGGCAGGAAAGGCTTCAGTCCTCTTCCCCTTTCTGAATTGGTTGTTATGCAACAGTACATGGTGTCTTCTTCATTTGAAGTATCTGTTTCTGACATACTGCCTTTCCATGTCACCTGCCATTCAAGCTGAGATTATTTGCATAAGACTCTGGAAAAGAATGCTGATGACATGCCATACCTGCATAAGAGAGACTAACAGGTAGAGTTGGCATGAGAGCTTGCAGGAAGAGAGACCTATTTCTTTTTTTCTTTTCAAATTTATTCATTTTTCTCTTTCAACATTCACTCCACAAGTTTTTGAATTCCAAATTTATACCCCATCTCCCCTCTCCTCCCACCCCAAGATGGCATGCATTCTGAATATCCCTTTCCCTAGTCGGTCCTCTTTTCTTTCTCTCCCCCCTTCTCTTATCCCCTTCCATTTCTATTTTCCTGTAGGGCAGGATAGACTTCTGTACCCCATTTCCTGTATTTCTTATTTCCCAGTAGCATGTGAAAACACTTTTTTTAAACATATGTTTTTAAAACTTCAGGTTTCAAATTTTCTCTCTTCCTCCCTCCCCACCCACCCTCATTGAAAAGGCAAGCAACTCAATATAGGTTGTACATGTGCAGTTATGCAAAACATGTCCATAGTAGACATGTTGTGAAAAACTAACTCTATTTCCTTTAATCCTATCCTGCTTTCCCATTTATTCTATTCTTTCTTTTGACCCTGTCCCTCCTCAGAAGTATTTACTTCTGATTACTCCCTTTCCCAATCTGCCCTCCTCTCTATCCTCCCCTGCTCTCTTGTCCCCTTCTCCCCCTATTTTCCTGTAGGGTAAGACAGATTTCCATACCCAATTGAATGCGTTTGTTATTCCCTCCTTAAGCCAAATCCTACAAGAATAAGATTCACTCATTCTCTCACCTTCCCCCATTTCCCCTCCACTGTAAGAGACTTTTCTTTTTTTTTTTTTGTGAGATAGTTTACCCCATTCTACCTCTCCCTTTCTTCTTCTCTGAGTATAATCCTCTCTCATCCCTTAATTTTATTCTCCAGATATGACCCCTTAATCTTCAACTCACCCTGTGCCCTCTATCTATCTATCTACATATACATACATATAATTTTTTTCCTCCAACTACCCTAATACTGACAAAGGTCTCATGAGTTATAAATATCATCTTTCCATGCAGGAATGTAAACAGTTCAATCTTAATAAGTCTCTTATGATTTCTCTTTCCTGTTTACCTCTTCATGTTCCACTTGAGTCCTGTATTTGAAAGTCAAATTTTCTATTCAGCTCTGGTCTTTTCATCAAGAATGCTTGAAAGTCCTCTATTTCACTGAATGACCATTTTTTCCCCTGAAGGATTATACTCAGTTTTGCTGGGTAGGTGATTCTTGGTTGTAATCCTATCTCCTTTGTCCTCTGGAATTTATATTCCATGCCCTGTGTCCTTTAATGTAGAAGCTGCTAAATGTTGTGTTCTCCTGATTGTGTTTCCACAGTACTTGAATTGTTTCCTTCTGGCAGCTTGTAATATTTTCTCCTTGACCTGGGAACTCTGGAATTTGGCTTCAATATTCCTAGGAGTTTTCCTTTGGGGATCTCTTTCAGGAGATCTGTGGATTCTTTTAATGTATATTTTGCCCTCTGGTTCTACTATATCAGGGCAGTTTTCCTTGATAATTTCTTGAAAGATGGTGTCTAGGCTCTTTTTTTGATCATGGCTTTTTAAATTCTCTCTCCTGGATCTATTTTCCAGTTCAGTTGTTTTTCCAATGGGATATTTCACATTGTTTTCTAATTTTTCATTCTTTTGGATGCGTTGTTCTGTGTCGTGATTTCTCATAAAGTCACTAGCTTCCAATTGTTCTATTCTAATTTTTAAGGGAGTATTTTCTTCAGTAAGCTTTTAGACTTCCTTTTCCATTTGGCCAGTTTTGCTTTTTAAGGCATTCTTCTCCTCATTGGCTTTTTGGACCTCTTTTGCCATTTGGGTTAGGCTATTTTTTAAGGTGTTATTTTCTCCAGTATTTTTTTGAGTCTCCTTTAGCAGGCTGTTGACTTGTTTTTCATGATTTTCTTGCATCACTCTCAGTTTTTCCTCTACTTCCCTTACTTGCTTCTCAAAATCCCTTTTGAGCTCTTCCAAGGCCTGGGACTGATTCATATTTTTCTTGGAGGCTTTGGATGTAGGAGCTTTGACTTTGTTGTCTTCTTCTGGTTGTATATTTTGATCTTCTTTTTCACCAAAGTAAGATTCTATGGTCTGACTCTTTTTGCTGCTTGCTCATGATCCCAGCCAATTACTTGAGTTTTAAACTCTTTGTTAAGGTAAGAGTCTGCTTCCAATGTGGAGAATGTATTGTCCCAAGCTTCAGGGGTTTGTATAGCTGTTTTCAGAGATACTTGTAGGGACCTGTAAATTTTCAGTTCTTCCAAGGTGGTATGATAAGGGGCGAGGTGTTTACTCCTTTCCTGGCCTGTGACCACAAGTATTCCTTTTTGTCCTGTAACTGTGAGGAAGGTTCCTCTCCACAGCTACTCCAAGCTCTACCACGCCAGCATTCCTCCTCACCCCAGCACCTGCCGCCCAGAACTGTGACCCAGATCCAAACACGGGCAAAGCAAGAGATTCCTGCCTCAGCACTGGCAAAGAGATCCCTGCAGTCCCTCTCTGATCAGCCACTGGATTCCCCCTCAGTCTGTGGGCCGGAAGCTCAGGAAGCAGCTCCCCCCCCCCCCCCCCCGCCATGCTTTTGGGGAATGGAGCTGAAACCCCGCCTTCCTCTCTGACCACCGACAGAAACAGACCTTTCCCACTGACCTTCTAAGTTGTCTTTGGCATTTGTGGATTGAGGAGTCTGGAAACCTCCACAGCTGCCCACGATTCAGTCCTCTGAGGCCTGCTCCAGGTTCCCTGCGGTCTGCGCGCCCACGCCACGCTGCGCTGCACTCCCAGCCCGGCGCGATACACCTTTCTGATCAATCATCCAGGTTGTCTTGGGCTGGAAATTTGTTTCACTCTGTCTTTCTGTGGGTTCTGCTGCTTCAGAATTTGTTTAGAGCCATTTTTTATCAGTATTTGGAGGGGTTTGGAGGAGAGCTCCAGCAAGTCACTGCTTTCACTCCACCATCTTGGCTCTGCCCCCCTCCCCCCAGACCTATTTCTTTCCTGCTTTGAGAGAGCATCCATGTGGGTTCAGAAGACCATTTCAGGGAGAAACTCAGCGAGAAAAAGAATAAGACTTCAGATATCGGGGACATGTGCGAAGGGAGTAGCTTTCCTTCGCATATCTGCCTTCCAAAGTTTATTCTCTTTTTCTCTGGGTTTTTTTCCCTAAAAGGGGCTGGAATCATGAGTGCCCTCTCTTGAAGCAAGAGGGTGTAATG